CCTTAAGCTCAAACGCAGTAGAAGAACGATAACACTATTACAAGATGTGATGGTAACAATTCGAAAACTAACATTATATAGTATAAGATATGACCATTGGCAGATCTACAAAGACTGGTCTATGCCGTGGAGATGAGGAGTGAGACAGGCAGGTATCATCAATCTTTGTGTAATCTCCGCGAATATATGTATATGCAAGCAATGGGAAAGCTAGAGGCGTTGAGGAGTTACGAACACAGCTTTTCGGTACTCGGCAAGTGCAAATATTGGGAAAGTGTTTCTGAAGGTAGCATAGTGTATCAAACAATTCTTCATAAACACTCCTACGATTTCCTGCAAATGCGATAAGAATAAACATTATTCTAAATCCAATCTGTACGAAGGTAGTGTAAGGAAAAGAAACAGAGATCAAATTGAGTAACAAGACTCGTGTTTTTATCAAAGAGTGGATGTTGTCTAACCTGTTGAGGGAAATCTCCATTTTCCATTTGTGAATTGATGATAAGCTTCGCAGCACGGTGAAGAGGTACTGGATCTCTCTCCGCCTGTTTTTTTTTTTTTATATATATATGTGAATAAATCGAGGAACTTTAGTTGTAATTATATGGAAATGCAAAATGAAGTGTTTTGAACCTGTCCAGCGTGAATCAGACCCATTATTGCCCAAGCCGTTTGCACCAGGTTGGATGTTTTCCCTTCCGATGGTATGTATATCTACATACGGACAATGTTAGATCAACAATTTTTTCGACAATTTAGGTGACATTCATTTACTAGGCCTTCATGTTACCTGTTCAGGGCATGATAGATAGCTTTCACCCCAACCTCCGTCATCTTTCTGTGTCGTGAGCAGAAATTCAACACCTTTACGCACAGCCAGGCTATTTTCATATGTTTTACCAGCGGCTGCTAGGCCGTTAAGAGCAAACCATGTGGCGTAGATAAAACAAACCCCCCAGTTTCCATACCTATCATGACTCAAAATAAACACGAATTTGGTAAGGTTCTCTTATTAACAGTATCCCTTTAACGTGTATAAATTATGTTAAAAGTGACATACCATGAACCGTCTGGTGTTTGCTCTCTCTCTAAGAATTGAACCGCTTTCTCGATGGATCTACTGATTTCTTTTGTTCTGTGATCGGGATAGAGTTGCTTGAACAGAACTAAAGCTTGTATAACAGATGAGGTGCATTCCACGTACTCACGCTCAGCCACAAGATTAGCCAAAAATTCTGTGGGATTGATAAACTGAAACACCATTTACAAAGGTTAAACATCAGAGATTCTTTTCATACTAATTTCCAAACTCACAAAAAAAGTGTGAACATCTTTATGTGTTTCAACACTTACTTCAATCCATTCATAAGCACGGACAGGCTCCCATGCAGTCACACCTCCATTTTCACTCTACATTAAATGAAGTCATAACTGTAAAAGTTATCAAGAGCCCATATTTATAGGATATTAGTCTTTTATATTCATCCTTACCTGAAGAGATAGCAAGAGATTAACAGAATCGTATACATTTTCAGGATCTATTTTCTCGCCAACAACCTCAGCTGGCATCATGGAGAGCAGCAAGCAACACTACAAAACCAAAGAAGTGCTTTGATGCATAACACTTGTGAAAATTCCAGCTAACTTGTGTTGCATCAGTGACTGGTTTAATTACCTTTAATGCTTCAGCCGTACAATCTGAAACTTGCCATCCATGATCTCGATCAGATAAAGTCCATGCTCCTTTGGAAATGTGGCGGTACATGCTCTTAAAGTCACCAGAAGGGTTCTCTCTAACCTGCAATGTTCTTTGATTTATGAAAACACATTCAACGGTCCTTTAGAGCAATTCAAGGAACACTATTATAATAAAAAGGATATCAAACCTGAGATTTCTTAATGTAATCATGTCCTCTTTTGAGTACGTTGTCGGTTTCATCAGAGAGATCACTAGCATGTACAGCTTGAACTGCAAACCCTGTATCCCATAGTTGACTTCCAAAGCTCTGCATAAATCTAAAATGCTCAAGAAGTTTCCATTTGTAAAGTATACCTAAATATCTGATTTTGTAATTCTTAAGTACCTGAACTTTCATGCCATCTTCGGCGACCCACATGTAATCCGGAACTCTAGCAAGATGCTTTTTGAAGTAGTCCCCGTTTGGATTTTCAATCCAACAAGCAAGCATACACAACATCTACAGCAAAAAAGTTTTAACTTGGAATCGAAACATACGTTCTTAAGAGAGTATGTGCATATTTTTAACCTTCTCAACACATCCGATGGTGATATAATGGCTATTCTCATCTTCGTAATGTATGTGTTTCATTGCCAGCCGAACAGCTTTTTCCCTCACAAGCTTGTTTAAAGGCCAACGGGTAAGGAATGGCTCCACAAAGACATAAAGAGTGTCCCATAACAAATCTTGAATCAAAGGATGGGGAAAGTACATGTCTTCCTGCGATAAGAASAATGGAATATCTTACGSTATCCTGACACATAAATTTAAGGATTAAAAAATGGCAAATCTTACCTTTGCATATAGACGCCTTGTTTTATTCCAKTTGATTTCTTSGTAAGGTTGTAMATGGAGTTCTTCACGCAGTTGYARAATAAGAGGTGTTATTGTACCAACAAAYCTCTTSCCATATAGATAAGACATGGGCATGTAAACCATCCGGSWATAACACAAAGTTTTCGCTGTATTCAATTTTGTGGAAAGAGTCAAACATCAAAAACAAAAACAAAATTGGAAATAACCATTTCAAGCAGAGCCAGTTAGTTTGACAAAAAAAAAAAGCAGAGCCATTTAGTAAAGAAAAAATATGGAAACATTGAACAAACCTAAGTGTATTGGAAGAAAAGAAGGTAGCAACCAGATCTCCGGAGGCATTGGATTGGTTCCAGCCCAATCATAGATTCCGAGTATCTACGTACCAAAAACAAATCAAATTACCGATAGTAGCAAGTCATTTTTTAATATCTCTCAGTCAGACTAGCATATGATCTGGAAAGATTTACCGATAGCCAAATCTTCCCCCAGGACGGAATATAAGTGACACCACCACGGTCAAGAATCCATTGTCTGGCCCGTTTACAGGCGTTTTCTCGTCCTCCATTGGGACCTTCTCCGAGTATACGCAGACATACGTAATTCAACACAGTGCAGAACATAATGCTCTTGCTCTCGATGTGTAATCCCCATCCACCATCTTCGTTCTGCAAATTAATGAGACAAAAGAGAACTCATCACTCTAGTACGAAGCTCTTGTTTAAAATCCGAGCCAAGAAATTGAAGTGTACCTGATGACAATAGACATGTCGAAGCATCTCTTTACGATGTTCTGCATCGAACATCTCCTCGAGGTGTCCTGTGATATACAAACAAAATATCTGCAAGGAAAATTCTCATTATTGGGAACAATTTATTTTCATTTCTCA